GTGATGTGGTACCTCAAAGTTGTTTTGATTTGCATTTCTCTCATCAATAGTGATTTAGAGCATTTTTCATATGGCTATAGATAGCTTTAATTTCTTCATCTGAAAACTGCCTTTTCATATCCTTTGTTTGACCATTTGTCAATTAGGGAATGACTTGTATTCTTATAAAGTTGACTCAGTTCTCTATATATTTTAAGAATGAGGCCTTTATCTGAGACACTGGTTGTAAAGATTGTTTCCCAGCTTTCTGCTTCCCTTGTAATCTTGATTACATTGGTTTTGTTTGTGCAAAATCTTTTGAATTTAATGTAATCAAAATTATCCGTTTTGCATTCCATAATGTACTCTGTTTCTTGTTTGGTCATAAATCCTTTCCTTCTCTATAGAGATCTGAGAGGCAAACTATTCCTTGCTCTCCTAATTTGCTTATAGTCTCACCCTTTATGTTTAAATCATAAACCCATTTTAACCCTATCTTGGTATATGATATGAAATGTTGATCTATAGTATTTTCAATTTTCCCAACAGTTTTTGTTAAATAATGATTTTTTATCCCAGAAGCTGGAGTCTTTGGGTTTGTGAAACAGTAATTTGCTACAGTCATTGACTACTATGTCTTGTGTACCTAACTCATTCCGCTGATTTACCACCCTTTTTCTTAGCCAGTACCAAGTAGTTTTGATGATTGCTGCTTTATAATACAGTTTTACATTTGGTATGGCTAGGCCACCTTCCCTTGCATTTCTTGTCATTATTTTGCTTGATATTCTGGAGCTTTTGTTCTTCCAGATGAATTTTGTTATTATTTTTTTCTAGCTGCATAAAATATTTTTGGTAGTTTGATTGGTATGGCACTAAATAAATAAATTAGTTTAGATAGAATTGTTATTTTTGTTATATTAGCTCAGCCTACCCACTCTTCTTTTTTCTAAAAAGGATTCTGTTACCTTGTTCTTTCAATTAATTCTCTTTTCTGTTTATTCTAAACTTTTATTCTTTGATAGATGATGTTTATACTAATATATTCCTGCTTTAATGTCTTCATGATCCTATCATACTTAAGGTTTCCAAACATAAAGCTTGAATTCCCCCTTCTAAATAATTTCTATATTCTTGCTTTGTAGATATTGCTCCTTTACTTTCTTTTCTACTACATTTCATTTTTAGGATTATCAATTTATGAGGGAGTTAATGAAGCTAGAAGCATTGTCCCATGATAGAAATCCCTCTGTGTGATCCAGTTCTATACCTTCCCCTCCCCAAGATAATTTTTCCCCATTTTTGATGGAATCACCTCTCTGAGTCTCTCCACTAACCTTGCCCCTTAGATACTTGCCTCTTAGAGTTCCAATTTCCCATCTTCTGGGGTAGAATATTGTGCATGAGGTAAAACAGAGAAAATGGTTTCCCTCTACAATGACTTCACAAAGATTTGTACTGTTGTAAGATTTCAAGCTCCTATTGTTGAATCTTTCTTTCCACTCACAAATATATTCTTCAGTAGAACAGTTTTGCCCTATTGCAGCAAGATCTCTATCCTCTCTTCTCGTTTACCCTTCTTTCTAGCTTTTATTCTTTTGAGACTTTTTAACTGTGATGTGTGAATAAAGGAAAGATAAAAAGCATTGAGAAAACCTATTTCCAGAGAAAATAACATTTGATCTTTATTTCCTCTCTTCTCACACACACATATAAATGCTTATGGGGAAAGGTATTTCTCAAATTCATTAATAAATAATATTTCAGAGTTATCAAAACTAATTAAGGAAAATGTTTCCACTTTAATAATTTATGTGGAAAATTAGAATATATCACTCAGATTATCTTTTAATTTGAGGTGAGAATTGAAAAATAAAATATTAATGGTAGATAGAAATAGAGGTGCTTGCTTCATATAGGATACCAATAGAGTAGTCAGTGCTAAAGCTTTATTATGATAAAAAAGTTTTCAACTAAGCAATTTCTCTTCTTATTTTATGTAAACTGCTTTTGTTTCATTAAGCCTATTTAATTTTATGCAATTGATATTTTCTACTAGTCTTTTGTGATCAGTTCTATTCCCCCTTTTATTAAGAATATTCCTATTAAAAATATTTGTGGAAGGTACCTTCTTCTAAACCTAATTTCTGTGAAGATATGTTCCACTTTGGCCAGCAGTTTTCATCAAATAAAAGAGTCCTCATTGCAATTTATGTTATTCTGTTTGTCAATCATTAGGTTATTAAAAAAAAATCCTTTTGGAACACTTTTTTCCCTTTTCTGTTCCACTGATTCTTTCAGATTTTTAAAAGCTTTACCAAATAGTTGCTTTTTATGATTTCAGTTCATTCATTTTTCGGTTGTGTTCAGTTCCTTGTGACCCCATGTGGGATTTTCTTGGCAAATGTTTGTCATTTCCTTCTGTAGCTCATTTTACAGATGAGAACACTGAGGCAAACAGGGTTAAATGACTTGCCTAAGGTCACACAGCTAGAAAGTGTCTGAGGCCAGATTTGAGCTGATGAAGATAAGTCTTCCTGACTCTAGGCCTGGTATTCAGTCCGCTGAACTACTAGCTGCCTTTTTAAAAAAATTATTATTATTGCTTCTTGATGATTTCTAATATAATTTGAAATCTGGAAAATCCATGCCCTTCTTATCCTTTTTCTCTCCATTACATCACTCCAGACATTAGGCCTCTTGCTCCACCAAATGGATTTTGCGATTACTGTGTCTAATTCTATAGAGAATCCCCTTAAGAATTTGATTAGCAAAACACTAGATTTTGATTTAAGTAGTATCATTTTTTAAATTATATTAATGGATTGCAACCAATTGTCTGTCATCTTTCATTTCTGCAAAGTATGTTTTTTACTTAATAATTCCAATGAAGAAGCAAAACATATTTTGGTACCACTACTTACACTATTTCTACTGAATGTTTATTTTTTGAAATTTCATGAACATGAAAAAATTTCTTTTTAGTAGAAACAAACAAATTGAAAATATACTCCCAAATTAATTTGGTTATAAAATGTCATGTTCTGTCTTAAAATTCAGAATATCATATATGACCATGTCTACTCTGTGTCAAACATGGTACCTTACACATAATAGGTATTCAATAAATCTACAGTAAATTAAAAATGTTAACATGAAAAACAATAGATTTATCAAAGTGACTCTTAGGTGTTACTTCACATTCAAATAATGACAAATATGACAAATTCAAAAATGTTAAATATTAGAGGTTCTAGGAGAATGAAGATACCTTAATATACCATCAATAGAGCTAGGGATTGGTACAATCTTTCTGGGTATGTGTGAATGAAATTATAGTAAAAAAGTCACTGCATATAAAAGTATATAACCTTTAATTCAGCAATAAAATTACTAGGCATGTGCCCCAGGGATTTAAAGACAGAAAGGAAACTTCTCTATTTGTAAAAATATTCATAGTAACACATTTTCTAGTTAAAAAAAAGAATCATAAAGTACTAGAAGCTGGAAACTGGGGAAAGATTGAACAAACTGTGGTAAATTATGGAATATTATTGTGCCATTAAAAAAAATGACATGAGAAAAATTCTGCAAAACTTCAGAAGACCTGTGTGAAATGATCAGACGAAACAAATAGAATCAAGAGAAACATGTGCAAAATGACCACAATAATGTAAAATGTAATAATGTTGAAAAATATCAGAATTCTGACCTTTGTGGTTACCCAGTGTGACTGTTGGTACCTTTCTTCTCATAGTAAAGAGTTATACAATGAAACGTATGTTGTCAGTCAGAAAATGTTGATTTTTTTTTTACTTCATTGTATTACTTATTAAAGTTTCTGCTGGGGGAGGTGGAGTCATTGGGAAAAGACTATGAATGCAGGGAAAATATTCATATTTAATTAAGAAAAAATAATTCAAGGATCTAAAGATTTTCAAAAACATGTAAGTTTGTTTCTATATATATACAAGCCATCTGTATATTTAACTGAAATTTCTACCTTCCAACTAAAGTTTTGAGTATATATTAGAAATGGGGGCATTCATATTTACTAAGAAATTGTCTTTGCAGACTCCTTTATGTGTCAGTGTCAAATGGAGTTAAAATAATTCTTTCAGCACATTTCATCAGAAAAATAATCATATTTATTTTGATCATCAAGTTCATGAAAATTAGCTACCAAAGTTATGTAGTCCTCTGAATATTTTTCACCTAGTATATGAATCCATTTACTTGTGTTTTCTTTTAGGTATTTTTTTCCTTTCTGTAGTTTGACTTACTCTTCAAAGGACTATCTGTCTTTTTCACATGCACAATTAAGAAAACATGGAAAAGATAATTTTATTCTTCTTAAATTTAATAGTCACATACAAAAGAGGCCTTAAGTAGAGATTAGTATTTGAGTGGGAGTTGCAAAATTTACTACTTCCTCATTACTTGCAAAAGCTACATGGAAAACACTTTCTCCCCCCCCCCCCTTTTTTCCCCCTAGGTTTGCTGCTATTTATTTGACTTGGTCAATTGTGACATGATGGTATAACAATTTAAGCTAATTTCTCTTTACATACATTTCATTTTTATTACTATGTAAAAGTTGACAATTTATCAAACACATATGAATAATACTTAGAAATACAAAATTATATTTGTTCTTTCACATTTACCTAAAACACTAAATTTATTTTTTTCTTAATGAAATGAAAACAATGGAATTTGAACAATAGTGCAAACTTGCCTCAATTCATACTTAACAAATGTCCACAAGGCCTATATTTGTTGTTTGAAATTTCTATTTTTGAATTCTTTCAAATACTCTTTCCTTACAGGAATTAAGAAAAAGAAAAAAGAAAAAAAACTGCATTATGCAGTTTTTCCAGGAATACTTTGTTATGCAATTTGGTTTAATAATGATCATGGTATGATGTATAAATTTATTGCAAAATGACCAGCAACGTGATTGTCTTACATGCTTATTGATTAATTGACATATACTTCTTTTATACTTACTTTCTTTAAAGAGTCCCCGTAATCACTGAGCCAGGTGGGAAGAAGAAATGCGTTTTCAGAGCATTCTGACTTTCAACTGCATCTTAAGGATCAGCTTTGGAAATGCTGTCATTCTGTATATCTTCTGCCAGACATAGTTCTGAAAAATTCTTCACACCAGTGAGGAACTCTTCAGGGTCCAGAAGTAAGTTGATCATATTTAATGTGATCATTGTGAGTGTAATTTTTTTTAATGTATGGACAGAAGAAAATGAAAATCCTCTATTGTACCACACTACAAAATAGACTAAACCAGAATGGAATAATTTTATTAGGATGAACCAGAGTATTCTGGAGACAAATACTACAATATTTTCAATAGAGAAATTTCCCTTGTAGCTTCTGGAGAGTAATGAAGTTTCTTTCAGTTAAAAGTAAAAAGAACTGAAGGTAGAGGTAAAATCCAATGTCATCTAGTTCTGTTTCTATGATTTTTAGCCTTCTTTCAGTTTAAGAGTGACAAAATACCTTTAGGAAATGTTGAGAAATAGATACTTCAACTGTAATAGAAGAAAAGTTAAGAAATTTTTTCAAAAATTAACTCTGATTTGTCTATCTTCCACTTTGGAAAAAAGGAAGAGAAAAAAGAAAGCTCTCCATATTGTAAGCCTAAACATTTGTTAAATTCATTATGTTTCTGTTTTAATTTTTATTGCTAGGGCTAAGTACTCAAAGAAAGGCTTTTGTCTTGATTAGAGCACGGTAAGTGGTTCTCTAATGTGAAAGAGAAGACTTATTAGATTCAAGTGTAGTTTTTACTAATGGATTTAATGAAGGTAGCAGTCTTTGTTTAATTAACCTTGAAAAATTAGGATAAACAGAAGCAACTTTTCTGAATTAAAATTTGTTTCTTAATTAATGATAAATTAACATGGAGCAATTAATATCACCTCCATTTTTCTATTTTCTCATTTAATATCTGGATCAATTTGAAAGTCAATAATTAATTTTTAGTTACTGATCAATATAAATAAATATATTTATAAAGGTCTAATATTTCTAAAGAATTCTCCATAGTTCATTAAAAATTCTACCATATCCATTAAGATTTCCTTTTTAAAAACATGGATACTAGAAACTTTCTTTGAGAGAATAAAAAACAGTTGAAAGAATAATATGATAAGTTTGTGAACTATTCACATAATTAGAAGAAGATAGTCCTTGTTCTCTCATTTGATGCATCTTCACTTAGACTTAGCAAGTATAGGATCCAGTTTTATAATTCTAGCTATGATTTTGGATTTTTAGTTTTATAAAGGGCCTTATTGTATATGAACAAGGTGTATATGGAAAGTAGCTACAGTGTATATGATAACATGTAGGTGATAAGAACAGTGACTATTATTCTAAAAAGATAATGTAGAACTATCTTAAACATTTTAATGACTACAGACATATATCATATAACTATTTTTTCCATTTTTCTGAAATATTCAAACTTCTATGTCTCTAAAAATCCTGAACAATCACTTATAATATTAGCTAACTCATTTAGTTGGTGTTTTCAATTTTTCCCCTATGGCTTTGCCCAAGCTCCTTTATGGAATGTTTTGGCTTCATTGAAGAGGTGCTATTTTTCTTGTCCATTGTGACAAAGAATTATAATTTTATTATTAAAAAGTAGAGCATTGCATTTAGAGAGAGACATAACAATGCCAGCTCAGTACTAGGTAACATTTGAGCTTAGGATATGTGAAAGTATATTCATTTGGTGTATAATGCTTAAACTGCCTATTAAAGATAATTATTCAATATTACCATCCATATCCAACTTTATCTTCTAGATAAATGACATTGATGGCAAAATGGAGGAAATAGTTACTTATTGGTCTGTTTAATAGTTATTTTTTGTGAGGTTTTAAAAAAAACCAAATATTTTAGTTTTTTATCATAATGTTGCAGGCTAATGCAAAAATTCAAAAGTCAGGAATAAGCAGAAAAAATATATTTTGCAATATTGGAAGCCCACTTCCTCATTTAGGACCACTCAACTAGCATTCTCAAGTGACAACTTCAGTTGTTTATGACTGCCTTTTTGTCACAGACTTTTCCCTAATTTATCTCATCATCATATCACGGATTTTCTGCTTCTCATTCCTTGACAGCTTTGTTTTTCACTTGGTGATAAAAGTTAAGACAGTTACCTTCACTAATGTGTTTGTAACTAATGTATTAGTAATTCCAAGTTGCATAATGTGTCAAAACAGTAAAAATGTGCATTTCTCCTATAACCCCTCAGAATATTGTTTTAACTGTGGAAGTCTCCTTTCAGCATGCCTTACATCCCTATTCTACTTACAAGTGGGGCAGGCCTATTTATATTACTACCCCTACAGTTCTTATTTTAAACTGGGAAAAAGATTTGAATTAGAAGGAGAGTCCTAAGAAATGAATCCTGCCTCAATTCTAAATACTTTGGATTAATATGCTCTATCACATATTCCAAAAGTAGATCTAGCATAAGGGTCTTTTATGTTAATTTCAAAATAAATAAATGGCTGCTTTTGAACTAGGAGCCATGCTTATCTTATACCTTTGGCAAAACTATAGGTATTTGTACTGGCAGATTAAAAAATTCCTAGGTTAGTTGTAAAACTGATTATTGGATTGGAACATGGCAAAAACTTTTCTCTTTCAATACAGGAGTAGCATACTAGAGAAGAAATCCTTGCCACTGTGTACATGTGTTTTCTTATGGGGAAAATTCAAGGCTTGCCATAGGAAAAAATGCACAAAATGGAAAACATCTTAGTAGAGACTATTATTAATTGTGATAATGGAAGATTAAATCCTAATAAAATACACAGATGATATTGAATTGTGGAACACTGGAAAATCAGAGAAATAAGTATTTTAATCATTAGGAGGTTAAAAATATAAGCAGAATCAAATTAATTTTGGCCTTCAAAATCTTTTCATGAATAGATTTGAGGAATACAAATTTAAAATATGCACAGAATAGAGCAAAATTCCAGATTGCTGAGTAGACTATGGGTAGGTGAGAGTAAATTAAGCACTTTCTTCAGAGTATCTGCTGAGAAGGGCAGAGTCAAGATGGTGGAGTCAAGATGGTAAGGCAGAAAAATCACCTGAACTCTCCCAAATTTACCTCTAAACAACTATAAAATAATGCCTCAAAAGGAATTCTGGAGCAACCAAACCGACAAAAAGGTAGGGTGAAACAATTTTTGATCCTAAAACAACTTAGGAAGTTGAAGGAAACCTTGGTTTCACTTGGGGACAAGGGAGTGCAGTCCAGTACAGTCATCATCTGGACAAACTAGCAGTAGACCTGCCTAAGCAGGCCAGTTGTAAGGCCCTGAGCCTCAGAATAGGACAGCAGCTAGCCCCATGGCCCCTGCTCAGGAAGCTTGGGACAATACCTCTTCCACCACAAAAGCAGAATCCAACTTTAAAAGAAAAATTAAAAGTCACAAAATAGTCTAGAAAAAGGAATAAAAAACAAACAACAGACTATAGAAAGTTACTGTGGTGATAGGGAAGATCAAAAAACAAACTCAGAAGAGTACAACAATATGAAAATGGCTACAGTGAGAAGCCTCAAAGACAAATACGAATTTTTCTCAGGCTCAAGAGTATTCCTGGAAGGGCTCAAAAAAGATTTGAAAAACTGAATAAGACAGGTAGATGAAAAATTAGTAAAAAACATTAGAGCAATGCAAGAGAATGATAAAACCCAGCTTAGTAAAGAAAGCACAAAACAATGGGAAAAGATGTATAAAAATTTATGGAAGCAAACATAGCCTTAAAAAGTAGAACTGGTCAAGCAGAAAAGGAGGTATAAAAGCTTACTAAAGAAAATAATTCCCTAAAAATAGAATTGGGCAAGTAGAAGCTAATGACTACATAAGACATCAATAAACAATAAAGAAAAATCAAAAGAATGAAAAAATAGAAGAAAATACTGCAAGCAGACAGAAAGACAATTCAAATATTCAAGAGCCACAGGCAGGGTAATGCAGGATTTAGCAGCTTCTACATTAAACAATTGGAGGACTTAGAACAATATTCTGCAAGGCAAAGGAACTAGGATCACAACCAAGATATAGTGAGCTAGGATTACTACCAAAGTGATTATCTACTGAGCATAATCATTCAGAAGGAAAGTGGAGATTCAGTGGAGAGGACTTCCAAGCATTCCTGATAAAAAAACAACAGCTGAACAGAAAATTTAATTTTCAAATAACAAGACTCAAGAGAAGCATAAAAAGGTAAACAGGAAAGAGAAAGCACAAGGGATTCATTCAATAAGGTTAAACTGTTATATACCTACGCAGGATGATAATTCCTATAACTTTTGAGAACTTTATCACTATTAGGGCAGTTAGAGGAAATATGTGTGTGTGTTGTATGTATATGTGTATGTGCGTGGACACACACAAAGAGAAATGAAGAGAGAGAGAGAGAAAGAGAGAGAGAGAAAGAGAGAGAGAGAGAGAGAGAGAGAGAGAGAGAGAGAGAGAGGAATGAGAAAGAAGATTGCACTGAAGAAGAGGAAAAGGAGAGGTAGAATGGAGTGAATTATCTCACATGAGGATGTGTGGAAGACTTATTGCAGTGGAGGGTGGTGTGGGCATTATTTGAATCTTACTCTTATCAGAATTGGCTCAAAGAGGGAATAACATACATACTCAGATGTGTATAAAAATCTATCTTACACTATTGGGAAGTAGGAGAGGAAAGGGATAAGACAGGGTGGACTGTAGAAGGAAAGCAGGATTGGTGGAGGGTGAGTCAGAAGTGGAACACTTCTCAAGAGGAACAAGATAGAAAGTGTAAGAGAGATAAGGCTAAAAAAGGGAAACAAAAGATGGAGTGAAATATACAATAATCATAATGGTAAATGTGAATGTGAGGAACACTCATAAAATGGAAGCAGATAGTAGAATGGATTAAAAACTATAGTCATATGATATGCTATTTAAAAGAAACACTTGAAACACACAGAGTAAAGGTGTAAAGAGTAAAGAGTGGAGAAGAATCCATTATGCTTTAGGTGAAGTAAAAAAATCAGCAGTAGCAAAATAACCTCAGACAAAGCAAAAGCAAAAATATATCTTATTAAAAGAGATAAGCATTTTTCTAAAAGGTACCATAGCCAATGAAGTAATATAATACTAAACA